GCGACAGGCGATGAAAAGTGCCGCTCGCAGACGTCGGACAGAGTCGGGAGTCGACCCCCGTTCTGAGTCTTGCTTCATTTGGTGGCAGTCGGGCGAGATTCCGCCTAAAACCAGTGCCAGTGCTACATAATACTCGCTCATAGCTGACGCTCGGTATAGACCACGAGCTCCTAGAGTTCCCTGAGTATCTCCGACTCCAGTATGAGCGACGAATAATTGCTCTTGGTGACATAGTCGGACTCAACTCCTGAACGTTTATTTCAGACACAGTTTTAACTTAACACCCGGATCTTTTGATCCTACTGCCTGCGTTCATTCGCTTTCGAACCTGATTTTAAAGTTAAAACTGTTGTCAAAGTCCGTTTCGTATAATCATCTAAACACAAAAATCTAAACCATTAGTCAACAAAATATATAATTGTTATTATTCAAAGCAATTAATCTAATTGTATTCATTTAATTGTCGCCATCTAGACACCATAGAATACATTTTAATAGTAAATGGTCGTATTTTGACCATCATTATAACCAGAACACGCGATTGGGAAATACATAGTTCTAAGCCAAATGCCTTGTTAAGCAACAGATCACTGATTATAACCTTAATTATTAGATGCGAAATGCAAAATTATCTTGTATCTTTAGCGATACTTAAAGTAAAGGCTTACATTTGAAATCGCTAGACACGAAGTACACTTCCCCATACATTAGCACACTTGTTATAAACTAAAATATTAAAATTTAAATTATCATAATCACATTATTATCGAACAATAGTATTTTAATTATAATGATTTTTACCACTATTTGACAATAGATCAGTTTGCCCATCGATGATACCATTAGATCATTGTGGGAACAATTTTATTTAACCTTAACGGAAAGACAACTAACAATTTAGATAATAATTATGTTTTAAATTATCTAAAATAATTAGTCAATAATAATTAAAATTTGTAATCTATTTGATAATGATAAATTAAGTTTATTGAAAACAAAATTATTAAATAACTATATTTAATTAAAAACAAAACTTTATAATATTTCAGTATATAATTTAAACAATTAAATTTAGTTTACACGAATATTTTGATAAAACAACTTGTGACATAATATTTTTACCACAATTCAACATTGACTATTTCTCCCCTTGTCTACCCACTTTATGGGAAATTAACAATGAAATTGCAACATAAGTCTATTGCTATACGTTGACATGGGTAATGCTAATTCTATGGTAATGAAAATCCAATAGATAATGCTATGTCAAATACTAATTCTATGTGTATTAGTAAATCAATAGACAATTAAAACTTTACTGGCAATACTGTGCCTATGACAGTGCTGAGTTTATAGCAATGTTAAATCTATATGACTAATGTTAATCCTATGGGCCCAAATTGTGGATAGCGTATAGAATCGCTGTGTTATACTTTTGAAATTAAATAAACAATAATTTAGTTTAAAATCTAAAATCTAACATTAATCTAATTTAACAAATCGTAATTCTATTTTTAATACAAAACGCATTTTAAAATTAAATGTTAAAACACATGTTATATGTGAACGAGTTATTTTAAAATTTATACTTTACAGATTAAAACAAAATTCTATTTAACTTATAAATTGAAGGAAATTATATTTAAAAACATAAAACACATAAAATAATATTTTATAAATACTTTAAAAAACAGATGTTAACAAAAAATAAGATATATACCTAATAGATACTAAATAGGTTAGACTTAAAATATAACACTTTATTTTAAAATAATCTTTGGCTCTAATAATTCAGTTAGAATATTAAAATAATTTTAAATAATATTACTTTCTAAAAACAACATTTAAAACAAAATTACAATAGTATAGTATATAGCAGTGATTAATTAAATATTTAAATACCATTATGAACCGCGACTCAGCTATAAATAATGTGATGGGATAGTTTGTTTACTTTTTTCCCGCTTTATGGGATTTTACATGGGATTACAGCATAACGCTGTAGGTACAATTTAACATAAATGATGCTAAGTCTATGAGTAATGTTAAATCTATGACAATGTTAATTCTATTGTTAAGTCTACGGCAATGCTTAGTCTATGACAATTTATTGCAATGTTAAGTCAATTTCTCTAATGAGAAGCCTATGGACTATATGTTAAATCTACGGGACTAATTCTAAGTATATGGAATAGGAATAATTTGGGCAATACTTAGTCTATGGCATAGAGATAACATGTGTAATGGTATATCAATTGGACAATAGGATTATAAATGAATCTGCCATAATACATAGAACTAATTGTTGTCAAAAACATTTTAAATTCTCAAAATAATAATAGTGAGAGTATTCTAACAATAGTATTAAAACATTTAAAATATTTAATGCATTATCAGGGTTTTGGTTAATGTATAACATCACTGTATGTGAAGTGTTTGTGAAACTGACCGTTCATTATTGAAAAGTTGCACTGTACATAGGAATAACAGCAAATTTATTAAAACAAATAAAATATTAAAATAATTATCTAATTTTACTACAAGGCTAACATTAAACTAATATTACTGTCAAAATAAAATCAAATATTTATTAAATAACTTTCTAAATAACACTTTTTAAATAACTATAATTTAGTATAAATTAACAGCATTTCAAAATTAACACATACCATTTTATTAAGTTTTACAGTTTAACTCATTAACCATTTATATCGTATGATTTTTATGGACGGTGACAGTGGTCGCGCATCTGTGCCGCACCTATAGGCGGCGTACAGACCCTGGTAGTCGTACGGCGCCAACACTTGACCCAACTCTTGTACAATATGTATCGAAACAGTTGCTACCACTGATATTTCCGCCGCCCAATGCGGCCATCACTTGTTGGTTATGATAGGGCCATAAAAGTCAACTGTTGTCAAAACGAGATCAAATAGTAGAGTGTATGACTTTATTGTGGTGGGCTCGGGCTCGGCCGGGTCGGTGGTGGCCGGACGACTCACCTTCATGCCTAACGTTAAGATACTGTGCCTGGAGGTCGGCGGTTCCGCTAATCGAATTACCGATATTCCAGCGATGGATAATCTGGTTGTCAACTCCCCCTTTAACAGGAACTATATTAATGCCCCGCAGCCCGGGATAGGCGCGGTCTGGAAATACCGGGTCATTCCAGAGCATCGTGGCAAAGGAATTGGTGGCACGTCGCAGATCAATTCCATGGTATACAATCGTGGTAATCGGCTTGACTACGATCACTGGGCCCGAGAGTATGGGGCCGTTGGCTCGGACTACGCCTCTGTGTTGCCCTATTTTAAGCGCTGGGAAAACAACACCGACAAAGATATAGTGGCGGCTAATCAGGGATTTCACGGCACCCAGGGCCTGGTGCAAGTCAGCATCTGGACTGAACCTGATCCTATTATCAAGATATACCATGAAACAATACAGGGTATGGGCCACCGGGTCACCGATATCAATGGGCCGGTACAGGTGGGCACTGCCATTGTCCAGGCGTTTATCACCGGCACCGGCCGCCGGTTTAGTGTTTCAAACGCTTATATCGACCCCAATAAGCACACGAATAATCTCGTTGTGTTGGCAGATGTGCTAGTCGTGCGGGTGCTGTTCACCGGTCGCACGGCTACCGGCTTTGAGTACATTAGGAAAGGCGTGCGACATGTGGTGAGTGCGCGCCGGGAGGTGATTGTGTCGGCCGGCGCTATAAACACACCACAATTACTCATGCAATCGGGTGTGGGGCCGGCCCGACACCTGCTGGAGCTTTCTATACCGGTAAAACAGTATCTACAAAATCACGTCCAGACCGATATATACGGCTTCATCAAAGACGATCGTTTGTCGAAATGTAGCCGACAACTGGACGCCAGCGCTCTAACCACTGACAACCAGTACCAGTACTTTACGTCAGGCGTCGGACCCCTAACTATACTACAAAACCATGACATACATGTCCACTGACAGCAATCCAGGAAAAGATTGGCCAAACATTTCGGTAGAACCACGGCTACGGTTGGCACCAACAGAGGCGTCACAAATGGCACAGACCTACGAACGGGTAGCCGAATGGGCTGACTATTACCGTAACTACACGGGCAGACACTACCTGCAAATGATGCTTATGTTACAACGTGTGCGGAGCCGTGGTTCACTCTACCTGAGCAGCGCCGATCTCTACGATTACCCCGTATATAGCTCACAGTTATTGACTGAGCGCCGGGACTTTGACAACTTTGTTGATGTGGTCAGTTGGGCACTTTATTTGGCCGATTGCTGGCGTTTGGCCCAGTATATAGAACCCGTACAGCCTGTACCCGGTTGTCACCAGTGTCCCAAAGCCAATACCTGTACGAGTGTTACGATTATATAGTTTGTCACGCGAATGAAACGGTGTATAGCGTGTATCACGATTCGGGCACTTGTCGTATGGGTGTATAATTAATTGTATTTTAAGACATGGTTTCAATTATTAACAAAATTAACATTCAATTAGCACATTTAACTTTAAAAATTGACATATCAACTAGAAAATAATTGCAAATTATGCATTAAAAATGTATAAACTAAAATAATCTAATATTAGTAAAACATTAACTTTACAACATATGGCAATGATATAACATTTTTCAATATCTCATACCATGCATTTCCCTGATATTATAACAGTTTGAAACTAACTATATGCTTTTTCATTAATACCGCTTTGTCCTTGTAAAATTAATTGTAATAAAACCATTCTTACTTTATTATAATAGATAATTAATTTTCTGTTACCTATTATTATGGTAATTTAATTGAAATAATTTAATTATTATAAAAAGAGTCACCAAAAAATTAGATTATATTGTAAATTCATTATTATAAGTTTAAGTTTAGATTAATTTGTACAAAATCAATTCATGTGTATTTAACACATGTTATACAAATATATCTATTAATTATTTAATTTACAATTTCATTTAATTTAGCTAATATAAATTAATTTACAAAATATTTTATAATTGGAAAATTTCAAATATAACAAATGTTAGACACAGATGCTAAACTAAACCTAAATTTAACACAAAAATGTTACGTTTTACTAATAATTTATAATTAGATTTTATAAATAGTAATTTATCTTAAACAGAAAACATTATTAGCAATTTAAAAATAATCAATACAAACAAATAATTCAATTTAAAATAAGATTAATATCTTCAAATCATAATACAAATAATGTTATTTTGTTATATTACAAAATACTCTATTTTATTCTCACAGACAATACATACTGTTATACATTATAAATTAATTTTATAAAATTGAGACGAGCTCTTGCGGTACACGTCGGCCGAGTATTTCGTGCACAACCTAATGCACCCTGTTCAATTTTACGACCGACATAAACACATTCCCACCGGTGCTGTTGTATTCGAGTTGAGCCTTCACTCGCTCTTCAACAAAATAATGGCCGAATCGGTGAACAATTGTCGATACATTTCATTGTTATCTAAAGACTCGAACAATAAAAATGTGGATCAGTTTCTGTCGGGAATCTCCAAACTCTACGAATTGGGTTTCAACCTATCGGTGGAGCGCCTGTACCCACCCATACAATGGCCGGTTCCTCGAAGCACACCATAGATCAGTTCGCTCTTGAAATGGGATCACACCCGAGACCTATTGGTCTATACCCCGAAATGGCCGCAAAATATGTTGCGATATGTTTGCGGGAATATGAATGTTGTGGTGAACATCGGGTCCAAGAAAGACGACTACCTGTGCGATCACGTGGTCGACGGCAATAACCTGTTCCCAGCGGCCGGTTATCTGATGCTCGCGTGGCGTCAAATGGCCGCCACTTATGGCCAGACATGGGATAAAGTTCCGGTATTTTTCGAGAAATGTCAGTTTTTGAGGGCGACATTCCTCGCACCCGACGTCTCGACACGACTTACCGTCAAATACTATCAAGAAACGGGCGATTATAGTATATATGAAAACGACGACATGTGTGCCGTCGGTACTGTGCGTCGCGGCGCCGACGATATGCTGACCGAACAGCACCTCATCACTGATGGACAGCCAGTGGTGTCGGAGTGTGAGTACCGGTTGGACAGGGAGTCCATTAGGAAAGAGATGCATATCCGGGGCTATGAGTACTCCAAAGGGTTTCATAGTTTGCTTAACATCCGGACCGCAGACTTCAGTCGCGCGAACGCAGACATCGAGTGGACGGGAAATATGGTTACATGTTTGGACGGTTTGCTACAACTGGCCGTCAATACAGTTAATCCCTTCCGGAAACTCGTGGTTCCGGTGATGATCGACGCCAAACGTGTCGACCCAAACACATTCTTCGAGACGGCGAAGAGGAATCTATTGGCCGATGAAGTGGTGACCGACAATGAAGTCGACGGCACTAATATGTCGGGAACAGACACATGTCTCACTGATTATAAGCCCAACAGTGCGTCCGAACGAATTGCTCACTTCGGCTCCCGATTGCCGGTAGTGTTTAACTCGTGTGTGAATTGTGTGCTCACATACGGCACAGAAGTGTATAATATGGTCACCGCTCCTATCACTAGGAAAACTGATCCCAATCTGGTTTTAGAGAGACATGAGTTCATCGCTAACGACGACAATATGGCCATCGATGACAGCCATAGGAAATTACTTATTGATAATATTGGAGTTTCAAATCAATTGCTGTGAAAATACGTGAAATGGGTTTCAATGAAATGAAATGTGATGAAGAAGTGAAGATAGCGAAGAAGTGATTCAAAGAAATAACAATGCAAACTTTGATAATAACGTTATGATTAAGATTTTGGAACAAAATTCACGAAACAATTGATAATCAAAACATTAAACCAAACGATAAACAAGTGTTAAACAAGTTATACAATGAAATACAAACTAATTGTAAATACGATTTAAGCCATGATTTAGTAAATCTCGTGACAAAAAAAATGAGCGCTTAATTCGATCTATGGTTGAGATAATCGGCGGAAATGTTTTATCCGTAAAACAGATGAAAGTCACAGAAATTAATTTCACAAACGATTTGATGGCAAACCATATAAAACAAGCTCTCGTTTATTTACTGTTCACGTGGTCTGATGTCGACTACAAACTGATGGTTAAATCCAAACAGTTAATACCAGATTATCTCAAACCCAATGCATTTGAATGGGATATCAAAAAGAGTCAAATCCTTAAAGCAAATCATTTAATTACCTTAAGATATTCTCACCATTTATGGGAATTAGATTTACAAGACTTGATGCAAGACTTGTCGGACGCCATCGAAAGCAATGGATTTCTATTGACAGTATTTCGATATAAAGTGACGAAACCGGAGATCGCATTGAATTCATTGTTTGAGAATTCAGTCACGGATTCAGATCTCGAGAAACGGATCAATGATTTTATTACTTATGGCAATAAAATGGTATTAAAAGTGATATGCAGTAAATGCGATACAATTGCTTCAAAGGCTGTAATCTTCAGAAAATTCTCGGAACCGATACTTCCGGACAAACAAAGTATTATCCAATTTAACGGCAAATGCGAGCTATGGTTCCCAATATTAAAGAACAGACTATTGATGGCCTATGAATTGTGTGCCGACAGTCCCCGGGTTTGGCTCATTGCCAACGACTCGTGTATTAACGGAGTAATGAGTTTAGCAAAGAGTCTTCGACTGGAACCGGGAGGCGAACACTTCAGATATATTCATATTTACGACAAAAAACACCGCAAATACAGACATAGACTTCAATGCGAAGCCATTCAACGATTTGGTGTCAAATGTGATCAGAGATGGAAAACTCGGTTCCTATCGACACCAGAGTTTTGGCAAAGATTTCGATAAAATCCAATCAAATGAGTATTAATTGAGTTTAGGAAAAGGTCAGGACTTGTCGTCCCTAAAGTGGACGGACATCACAACCCTTCCAATGACTGACCACTACTACGACGTGACCAATAAAAAGAGACAATTGATTAAAACACAGGTCAACTGCTCGGTTGTAATTATTAGGGACGTACTCATAGCCACCGGCAAAGTACCGGCGCTTTCAGAACAGTATGAGCAACAAATTGGCTACGAGTTTGCCGGCCGTCGGGACGGATTCAGGCGGCCATTAATATGTGCCAACACTACGGCCGCGATATATACGCAACGGTCGGCACCGAAGAGAAGAAACAATTTCTCATAAAGACATACAAAATACCGGCGAAGAAGATATTCTCGTCGAGAAGTATATAATTCAAGAGTCAATTAATGGACGAAACAGATGGACGGGGAGTGGATTTGGTGCTCAACTCTTTGGCCGGCGATATGTTTGACGCGAGCTATGAGTGTGTGGGCACAGGCGGACGGTTTGTGGAGTTTGGGAAAATGGGACGTCAGTCAAAAGCCCAACGCCCTGAACGTCGTCTCAACGGTGCTTTACGCCCGTCGTGGGCCTTCAGTCTTGGTGAGCGTCGCGCTCAGGCGCCCAACTCTCCACGTCCCGTCCTCCAAGTCTCGGTCCTCTCGTTCCGATGTATAACCTATTGAGAGATATGTGTTTTATCTGTGTTTCACTGGACGAGAGTGTATTGACCCGCGAATACATTTGGGACGCTTTTTATACATGGGTTCACCAGAACTGCACCAATGGTTGCGTAAAACCCGTGAATCGGACGGTATTTCCGGTCGCTGACCCGGAGAAGGCCTTCCGATACATGACTACCGGTAAACATATCGGGAAAATAGTTATCCGTATTCGTGAAGAGTATGCGAACCGAAAGCCATGGAAATGCATAAAACCGGCCGATAGTATGATTGTTAGCACAAAAACGTACTTCAATCCCAATGAGACTTATATAATAACCGGAGGTTTGGGTGACTTTGGGTTACAGTTGTGTCAATGGATGATATATAACGGGGCGACGAGATTGGTGTTGACCTCACGTTCGGGCATTAAAAATGATTACCAGAAATTTATTGTCAATCGTTTGATAGCTTTCGGGAAAAGACATAACTATTTTAAAAACCAAGTTATAGTCTCTTCGACCGATTGGTTCACTATTGAGGGCACAAAACAACTGTTAGATGAGTGCAAAGGGTTGGGCGCACCCATCGGTGATGTCTTTCATTTGGCCCTTGAGTTAAACAATTGTCTCTTCAGTGAAGTGTCTTTTGAGACATTCATGAAAACCGGTGACATAAAGGAAAAGATATTCAAGAATTTGGATCAATTGAGCCGAGAATTGGACTATAATTTAGACCATTTTGTGGTGTTTCGTCCATTTCTTCGGGAATGAGAATCGCGGGAAATATGAACTACACTTACGGTAACTCTATTTATAAGCGTATTTGCGAACAGAGACAGA